CCTCATTAGGAATCTTAGTTGCTGAGTTCTCATCACTTCCCTTCAAACCAGATAAGTAATACATTGTAGTATCGGTCGTCACATTAGCACCATGACCAATATACATCCAGTCAAATCCAGAATGGCTGCTGAATTCCTGAATTTCCATGTAGACATACTCGCCTTCTGCTTGCCTGATTTTCCATTCACAGTATGAGCCATCTGGGTATGGGCAGCTGATGATGGTTCCATGGAAATCCACCAATTCGCCACCACATGGTGTACATGGAGTGGTACTAGGCATAGGAGGCGAAGTGGTAGTAGGGGGTGCTGTTGAAGTTAATGGCTCTGGTGTTATGAACACTACAATATAAATATTAGGTAGGAAACACAATTAGTTTAAACATTTTTGAGCTCATAAGTCACATTTTGTATGTCATCGTTCAAAATTATATGTGACAGTTTTTGCCACATTTTGTAGCCAATATGACAAATAATGTCCATTTGAATATGATTATACATGTTGGAGCCTAGAACCTAGCATGAATGTCTTCTAACAACATTTCACAAAATAATAGATATTACGTCAATCCTTCACAAAATGTATTAGATTTCACCTGGGGATAATATCAATTATCAATTTTATTTTTCAAAATTATTTTTATAAGTTAAGATCATCTGAATTTTCTGAGTGGTACCTTCCTCAGTGGCCGATGTCTTAATTTTATTAATTTTGTGATTTACCTCCATCATACAGCAGCAACCATCCTTGTTTTGTGATAGAGTAATCTGTAGTGAATCTCAACCATACAACACTTGTCTCACTGATAATAGTTGGTGGTAACTCACTACCAGAAAATCTCTGTAACAGGTGAGCAAAAAATAGATACAAGTCATTGTTGATGAAATAGTATTCAAGCCCACTGAATAACAGGAATAACATCATACCTGAACGATAAAATTTACATGTCCATGAACACATGACAAATAACTGGCAAACAATACTTTTTAATTTCATATTAATATGAAATAAACGACAGACAAGTATGGTCCAATTAGAGAGAAAGATATATAGACCCCAATAAATACATACAAATGGTGTATCTTGTTTCAAAATTAATCGGATAGACATGCATGAAAAACTGTTTGGAACCAGAGCTGCACTATGCAGCCAGCCTACTGAATTGAATTTTCAACAAACACATCATGTGTATATTATGTAGACTTTCTACAAACTTTTAGAAAATCACATCAGACATTTACATATGTTTACTCACATATTGCTCATGGTCATATGGATCATAACCTTCACCAATAATCAGCCAATCAAATCCAGCTTCAGTTTCAAAATTAATGAAGTCAATCTTAACACTAAGATTACTACTGATGTCAATAATCCAGACACAATCAATCGAATTTGGATAGTCCATTGGAAAATTTGGTGATGAAATAAATCCATTTGAATCTGTTAAATACTCATCATTGCATACGTTGTCTGAAAAAATAAATATCCAATATTAGTGGTAATTATATAATTATAAAATTATCTCTTCCTTTTTTTGTCTACTGACCACTTCCTCAATTATTACACTATTAGAATAAACACAATCATCTTTCTTCATCGTCGTTGGTAGACAACAACCATGCTACTGTATCAGCAACGAATCTCCAATAGAAATTCATATCAAATCAAAAATCGCATTTATACTGAATCATCAAAATACTACTTATTTATAAATTATTGATATTTTCATCATTCTTTTTTTTTTCTTTCTTTCTACCGAAAACAATTTATAAATGATAGCAATTCTAGCACAAACCTTCATAGAACTCGATAGAGAATCCAAATCTTGTGATAGATCCATCAGATATAAATGTAACCCAAATTTCATTGGACTCTGTTGTAAACTGTTGTGAGTTTTCATAACCAGACATATGTTTAATCATGGAGGATTGGTTGGTAGAATCACTACCAGAACCAATATCAACCCAATCATACTGATCCTCAGTCCAGAATGAGCGAACGCTGGTCACGATTGAGCGACCGGAAGAAGTAGTTATTATCCATTCACAGAATTCATTGTTGTCATAATGGGCAGGATAGTTTGGTGAGAAAATACCCACATGGCCATCTGGTGGAATTGTGTAAGATCCTCCACAATCTGACAAAAAAATCAAATAAAATTTAAGATTC